GTTACTACTAGTAAGGCACTTGTTACTACTAGCGTGGCACTTGTTACCACTATTGAAAAAGACCCGTGTCGTTTGCATTATCGTATGTTTTACTCTGATCGTTTTCTGGGGTAGGAATGCATTAGTGAGTGTTAAGGTGCATGCCAACACTAAAGTCCTGAGAATGGGGTTATTTCAATCTCTCATTTGTCATCTAAACATGTCTAAACATGTCTAAACTCTCGCAGTGGAGATGGAATGTCTGAACAAGTCCCCTGGCATGGGAATCCGGGAATGTCACAAAGCCGCTGAACCCTTCTGGCGCAAAAACGTGAACGTGAACATGCAGAAAGACTTGGAAGCGGATTGATCAACCTCAAGAAAGTGAGCAGGAAGAAGATAGAACTCCTCTCCCCATCTTCCGACATTTGATTCATGTCTCTTGGCCACATTGGAACAATGCCCACTCCCACCCTACTTACAGAGAGTCGAAGCGGCCAAACACTTTTTAGAACGCAATGCCGAAACAGCACGAGGTGCTAGAACTACACTTGGCTTGTTGTTTCGGAGGGGTCGAGAGGCATCTCCACTTTCATTGGAAGACGCTTCAGCAATCTGTGTCATCGATTCCTCCCAAACTCCGGCATCTGGTTGGGCGAAACCATTCTAGAAAACTGACATTCGAGCCCTTCTTGCAAGTTTATGTTCGTATCAAAAATGCGGAGAGAGAGAGAGAGAGAGAAAAAAAAAAAGAACGGGGCCTGGCAGTTTAGAGTTTGGAGACAAGATATCTATGTGCTCATCTCTCTTCTCGATTTGTGCAATACGACTCGCGCCGCTGACACACTCCACCCCAATGAAACTCCTGAAGGAACGGTCGTGCCCCCAAAGGCGGCGTTTCTACGTCAGCGAGGTACCGCGGTAGCGATGTCTGACCACTCAGATGTCTGACCTCATCGGGATGCGCGGGATGCGCGGCAGCGACGCGCTCGCGCGTAAATAACGCGCGAGGCGGCATTCCCTGACCCGTGGCGTGGAGTGCTTCCCGCTTCCGCACATCCCGCAACCGGTATGCATAAAACATGATTAAACAATATCAAAGATGCACATATCACCAAACGGGCAGGCTCCAATACATGTTCAAAGAGGCTCTTTTTCGTGTCTATCTGGACCCTCATGTCGGGCATGTCGCGTCTTTCATATCGGGCTCGAGTTCCAGTCCTCCGTTTGCCTGGTGGTTTGAGCCCCCCATCGGATCCGCGCCATGGCAACTCCTCATCCGCGCAGGACACTCCTTTTTATGCCTTGTCAATGCTGCCGCGGTCCCTGAGAACTGAAGAAAAGAACACCAAACAACACAGGTCGAAGGCGGTCCATTGCACGATTACGGTGCATTGAAAGAATCTGCAGAAAAGGCAGGCCAGGAAGACGTTGTTTGACTGGACGCTCTGTATGCGTTTCATGGCGGGACACTTTTCTCTGAAGTTGTCCGCCTCTTCTGCGTCGCCAAAGGAAGGCTGGCATCGCCAGGAGAATTGCCAAGATGCAAGACGCCGCGGCACGGCAGAACTTTCCGTTGACATCACCGTGAAAGCTGGTCTGCCTCGTGGCGTCATGGTGTGTATTCGCCTCCTTGTGGTGAAGCATTCACACTCATTATTTTGGTGACCATGCCGCAGTGTTGCACAGGGCCTCCGTAGCAGAATGACAGGCGTGGCTCAAGAATCTAAGTGTCTGCACATGGTGAGCCCCGTTTACATCCTCGCACTAGTCACAATGGCCGTGTTGTAAATAGGGGGAATGCGCATCCTACAACTGATTCAACATGATTGCCATATCTATATAAATGGCAGCTAGGCCCAAACAGCAGCTGGGGGTCGAGAACATTCAACATTGTTTGCTCTTTCCTCGCACTTATGTGTCTTCCAATTGTTTCCCCTTTGTGTGAATCGTTCAATAAACGGTCTGAGTCTTGACCATGATAGGATCCCCAAACCAACAGGTGTATCTTCAGCTATGGGTTCCGCAAACGGTTCTCTAAGCCCTGCTTGCTGGTGAGTGTCAAACTCTCAAACCAACCCTCATCTTTCGGGGCACGGATCAACTCTCAAAGCTGGTAGCCTTTGGTCGAGGCCTGGGGCGCATCAGGCAGCGGTGCAAATCTAATGGAGGGGACGCCTCCGGTGAAACCAGGGTGTGAGACACACCAGAAGCGGAGGTTCCACACCGGAAGCAGCTGGGAAGGTGAAACTCTATAGAACTTTCACCCCCGTTGGCTAACTGCCACTCCTGGTGCCGCTTCACGAGTGGCATTCATCATTCGACTTGGTCACTTCGGGTCTTTCGACCTTCCCAACGACCCGCGGCGTGCCATCCACAAGCCTCGCCACTGCGGGCGAGCCTGCTTATTGGGCGGACTATATTATATTGTAATTTATAGTTATTTGCGACTCACTACTATCGCTGTTGCTTGGTTTGGTTCTTTAGCCGAGGCTTGACCTGGCAAGTGTAGCTCAGTGTCCTTTGCTCAAAGGCTCGCCGGACACTTTACTAGAAGTCTTAACTTTTAACTCATGTCACGGAATCTTGTCCATGACGCCTTGCCCAAGACCAGAAGTGAGTCATGGGAGAGAGGTGTTCTTTGGCCCAAGAGCAGGACGCCATCGAATTGTCGGCAAATCATTCAGCCACAGCTACCGGCGCCGGGCGTGCTTGGGGCGCCCGCAGCAGGTGACGGCCTTCATTCCCAGCATTGACAGGTGTAGATCTCTACCATTGAAGTGGGGATCCTCATTGCCAAGTCACTACCAAAGTCCAAAGGTAGCGATCCGAGCATCTTTGGGGAGCTCCACTTAGTGCAGATCCAGTACATGTCTGAAGTGTGTTTGTCAAGGAAATCAGGGCACCAGGATGTCTGGTGAAATGCAGCACCCTGGTGGTAGACCCGGCTATACCCTGCACGCGTATGTTGCTTTATTATTGGTTTGTTCGTTCGGCTGATTATGCCCTTTTTCCCCCAAATGGCAAAGGCTCGATCTGGACTACACTGCACCCGGTCCCCTGTTGGCAAACTCACCCGTGGAATTCCCATCTTTGGATTTCATCATCCAATGATCCTTGTGGATGCGGCTCTGATGTCTTGGTCGGGACAGTCCGGCCGGTCCCTGCGCGGGCAGCCAACAGCTCTGTCCAGCTGCGCCAGAAAGCCTTGCGGCGGCCTCCGGTGGCCACGAATGCTGTCAGGTGGGAAGAGAGCTACGACAGCTAAGACAGCTAAGATTTTATGCTTCCTTTGTGTTGCCAATGGCGCTCACGATGGTGTTCCGGCAACGGACAAGGATTGCGTGTGGGAAGATGATTAGTATACCTATTTATATAACTCGGCAATCGGCAATCTGTCGCTTTTGGAGGGGATGAACAAACAGCCGGCTGCCCTGGGAGGGCCCCGATCACCCCTTTAAACTGCGGGGTCAACCACCAGCTCGAATTTCAAACCCGTTTGCTGTGCTACAACTGGCCCCAGAACCCATGGGAGACTCCCTTGTGCGGCCTGCGCCGAGGTGTTCGCCTCAAATCTGCCAGCCCCGTGGGGCAGAGAAGGCCGGCCTCAGTGATAGCGACTCCCAATAGTGGGTTTCCGTCAACACCGAGGTACTGGGCAAGAAGAGGCTACGTAAGCTAGACATCTGCTTCTTTTGCGCAAGATCAGGGCAGCAGACTTGAGTGAAGCTGTTGCCAACAAGCCCTCACCCAACTGCAAGCCTCTTGGCTAAACTCTTTGCAAGTACGTGATCATTGAAGTGGGAGTTCATTAAAGGAATATATATATATAGCTGAAGAAACACTGATTGAAGTGACAATGAAGTCAATGAAGTGACATCCTATAGCAGTTCAACCCTTTGCTCCATGTTTTGGGCCGACTCCCACGATCCAATTGTCCGGCTGACAAGTTCGAATCTCTGCCCACTTTGACACGTGCAGCCAGCTGGCGTCTGGTATGATGTGATATTGCTGCCTCAAGCGGCCCGGTTGACAAGCCGACAAGCTATAGTGATGCTGTATGGTGCTGTGGCTGAAAAGGCTCTTCTTTGACAAATCTGACACTCACATCATCATACGTTGCCCACATGAACAATCTAGTAAGTACAATGATAAAACCGCACTGGTGACTGAATGAAAGCAAAGAGGCTATACCCTCCATCAAAACCATCACATCCTCCGTCACTGGCGTTGTTGCCATAGTTTCCCGTGCCTCGGCACGACCGGCGCAATTCGTGCGCCGTCTGTTGAAGCAGGACCTGGATCTGTCCTCTGGGGACTGACACTGCACCTGACTCGCCCGCCTGACTGCCCAATTCAAAGATCTGGGCACCAGACTGGGCCAAGAATCCCAACTGGATGTATAGTGTGGCCTCTCCCACGTGCTGGAATAGGTCTCGCTGCTCCATGGTGCCTGGATACTGAAGTCAGGGAGCTGTACGCATTGTACGCGAACGGCGCGCAATGGCACGTAGCATTGGTACCGTTCAGTTTTTTGCTTCCAGCTATGGTGTCCTTGACCGCCTCTCCAGTCACGAAGAAAGCTGTTCAATTTGATCTGATTTGAGTCTGAGTCTCTGAAGTTCATTGTGGCTATGTATCTCACAGAATCTGTGTGATCCAGATCCCATCCTGAATGGGCTCACTCCAACTGTCCAACTCACACGCAAGGGGCGTTGCTCCAGCCTGTGATTGCCAGTTGCCTTCAGACCATCCTGGCAACATGTTGCGAACGCACGAGCGCCCCGATGGACCCTGCGCAGGAATGACGGTTGATCTTTGGTTCCACCGAGTGGAAATGTAGAAAGAGCGTTTGGGGCCCCAATGGCGCCGGCAAACCACTTTATCTCCACTCACTCACTCACTCACTCACGCACGCACGCACGCACGCACTCACTCACTCACTCACTCTCTCACTCTCTCACTCTCTCACTCTCTCTTTCTCTCTCTCTTTCTCTCTCTCTTTCTCTCTCTCTTTCTCTCTCTCTGTCTCTCTCTTTCTCTCTCTCTTTCTCTCTCTCTTTCTCTCTCTCTGTCTCTCTCTCTCTCTCTCTCTCTCTCTCTCTCTCT